AACTAGATAAAGAAGAGTGAATAAAGCCTAAAAAACAAAGAAGAAAATAAATAATAAAAAATTAAAGCACAAATCAATTAATTAATACTAGGAACATAAGAAAGAAAATCAATGAAACCAAAAGCTGGTTTTTGAAAAACTCAGTAAAATTCATAAGCATATGGTCAAGGTAAACAAGAAAAAAAGAAGAAAAAAATTACCAGTATCAGAAATGAAAAATCATCACTGTTGAGCCCATGAACATCAAATAGATAATAAGGGAATACTATAAATAACCCTATGCCCACAACTTTGATAACTTAGAAGAAATGGACCAATTCTTCAAAGATACAAACAATAAAACTTACACATATAGAAATACATAATCTGAATAAGCCTATATTTATTAAAGAAATTAAATCAATAATTAGTAATCTTCCAAAAAAATAAAATACAAACACCACATGGTTTCACTGGTGAAGTCTAACAAATATTTGAAGAGAAAATAATACCAGTTCTCCACAATATCTTCCAGAAAATAGAAGCAGAAGGAACATTTGTTTACTCATCCTATGAGGCCAACATTACCGTACCACTAAAACTAAAGGCATTTCAAGAAAGAGAAAATATAGACCAATATGCCACATTAAAATTTATGCAAAAGTCCTCACCAAAATGTAAGCAAATAGAATTCAACAATATAAAAAGAGTTACATACCACAACAAAGTGAATTTATCCATGTATGAAACGGTGGTTTAATGTCAACAGGATAAAACAAAAAAATCATATGACCATATCAATTGATGCAGAAAAAGCGTCTGACAAAATCCAACATACATTAATAATAAAAATTCTCAGAAAGATAGAAGAGAGGGAACTTCCTCACCTTAATAAAGAACATCTACAATAAATCAACAACTCATATCATATTTAATGATAAGAAACTAGATACCTCCCTTAAAGTCAGGAATAAGATAAGGATGTGTTCTCTCTTACCACATCTACTTAACATTACACTGAAATTCCTAGTTACTGCACGACAACAAAAAATAAAAGATATTGGCCAGGCACAGTGCTCATACCTGTAATCCTAGCACTTTGGGAGGCCGAGACAGGCGGATCACAAGCTCAAGAGATTGAGACTGTCCTGGCCAACATGGCGAAACACCGTTTCTACTAAAAATACAAAAATTAGCCAGGCGTGGTGGTGGGCACCTGTAATCTGGGGCTGGAGAATTGTTTGAATCCGGAGGCAGACATTGCAGTGAGCCTAGATCACACCACTTCACTCCAGCCTGGAAGACGGAGGAATACTCCATCTCAAAAAAATAAAAATAAAATACAATAAAAAATTTAAAAAAAGAAAAAAAGAAAGAAAGAAAATGTAGGTGTATTATAAAGAAAAAAGAGAAAAAAGGAGAAAAATTATATTATTTACAAATAATGTGATTGTTTATGTATAAATTCCCAAAGAATTGACAAAAAAATTACCTAAAACTGAAAAGCAAGTGAAACAATGTTACAGCATGTAGAGCTAACATTTTAAAAATTGTTTGCTTTTCTATATTTCAGTAACAAACAATAAAAATTTGAAATTAAAATAACAATACCAATTCTAATGCCACAAAAATTGAAATGCTTACATGTAACTCTAACCAAATACCAACAGAAATTTTATGCAGATATCTATAAAACAATGATAAAAGATATCTGAGAATATCTAAATGTATGGAGAGATTGCCCATGCTCATGCATTGGAAGAAAAATGCATTTGATACGTTAATTCTTCCCAATTTGATCTATTGATTCATAAAATCCCACCAAAAGTTCCAAAAAGCTCTTTTTTAAGATACTGACAAGCTTATTCTAAAGTTTATAGAGAAAGGGAAACAATTTAGAATAGCCAACACAATACTAAAGAAGAACAAAATTAGAAGATTCTCACTATTGCGCTTCAAGACTCAATATAAGACTACAATAATCAAGACACTGTGTCATGAGTGAAAGGACCGATACATATATAATTGGAAAAGAATATGTATATGTATTTGGAAAAGAACCTGGGAAACAACCTAAATAAATATAGTCAACTGATTTTTAACAAAGGAACATAGGCAATTTGTAAAAAAAAAAAAAAAGTATAGGATAGTATTTTCAACAAACAGTGCTTGAAAAGTTGGACATTCACATGTAAAAAAAAAAGAACCTAGACACAGACCTTACATGTTTCACAAAAATTAACTCAAAATAGATCATAAACTTAAATGTAAAATTAAAATTATAAAATTTCTAGAGGAAAATGTAGGTGTCCTTAGGTTTGGTGATAACATTTTAGACACAACATCAAAACAAAAATTCATGAAAGAAATAAAATAATGGTTAGACTTAATTAAAATTTAACATTTCTGATATACAAAATATACTGTTAAGAGAATAAAATGATAAGCAACAGATTGTGAAAAAAATTTGAAAAACACATATCTGATAAAGAACATATATCAAAAATATACAAAGCACACTTGAAACTCAACAACAAGAAAACAAACTGATTAAATAATTGGTCACAGACATTAACAAACATTTCATGAAACATATACAATGGCAATTAAGCTTATGAAAAGATGCTCCAAATTATATGTCATTAAGAAATTGTTAATTAAACAATGGTGAGATACTATTATGTGCCTATTAGAATGACAAAAGTCCTTAGAACTGACAATGCTAATTACTGATTAGGATATAGAACAACAGGAACTTTTATATTCATTGTTGGTGGGAATGAAAAATAGTACAGTGACTTTGGAAAACAGTGACAGTTTTTGACAAAGCTGAGTGGTCTACAAAGTCTTACCATCTGTGTTAGTCCATTTTCACACTTCTGATAATGACATACCTGAGACAGGGCAATTTACACAAGAAAAAGGTTTAATGGATGCACAGTTCCACATGGCTGGGAAGGTGTTACAATTGTGGCAGAAGGTGAGAGGTACATCTCACATGGTGGCAGACAAGAGAAGAAAACTTGCATAGGGGAAACTCCTGTTATAAACTCCACTTTAGAAAACCATCATATCTTGTGAGACTTAATCACTTTCATGAGAACAGCATGGGAAAGACCTGCCACCATGATTCAATTATCTCCCACTGGGTCCCTCCCATGACATGTGGGAATTGTGGGAGCTACAATTCAAGATGAGATTTGGGTGGTGACACAGCCAAACCATATCACCATCCATTCAGCAATCATGCTTCTAAAAATTTATACAAATGAGTTGAAGACTACATCTACACAAAAATTTGTACAAGATGTCTTTCAAAGGTGAATGAATAAACAAAGTATGGTAGACCCATAAAATGGAATATTATTCAATGATAGAAAGAAATGAGCTTTCAAATCACAAGAAGAAAAAGATGAGCCTTAAATGTATTATACTAAGTACAAAAAGCCATTGGGGAAAGGCTACATACTGTATGATTCCAATTCTATGACATCCTGGAAAAAGTAAAACTATAGAGACAGTAAAAAGGTCAGATTTCAGAGAGAAGATAGAAGAGGTAAGGGCTGAATAGGTGAAGCATGAAGGATGGGATATTTTTTAGTGTAGTGGAACCATTCTGAATGACACCGTGATGGTGGATACATTATACTCTTGTGTCAGAAATCCATTGAATTTTAAAACACAGTGAACATCAATAGTTGTAATATTTTAACTAAAATATTTTAGAATCCAAGAATGGAATTCGGAATGTGGGAAAACATTATGGCAATACTATAAGTGTACAAAACAACTTCACCAAAGGAAGTGAAATAATACACGTGGTAATCTAAATAACTTTAGAAATGTGTCAAGTCTGTAAGAGCAAAAGCAAAAGAAATTATATCTGGGTATTGTAGCCTAATGAATAAAGTCATTTACCACAGAGGTATTGGCTTACAATTCTTATACAATTACAAATGTATACACAAATCAAACAATTAGGTAGATGGATGGAAGATAGTGGGAGCCATTTTATACTGTTGGAGTTGGAGATTACAAATTGGCAGGAAAAAGAGCCTAGAGTCATCTGTGTGCTTATATTTTAGGGCTGGAGACATCAGTGACAACTCATGTTTAGCTTAACACAAATAGTTCCATACAGAAATATTTATAGATATAAGTGTACAGACTCGTTATTATGCATGAATATATCCTTAGCCTGTCAGCTAATAGGGCCTAAAGTGACAACACCCTAGTAGCAATGAACAAGCCTAGCACTGAGATCTTGGAGTTAATATCATTCTTCGGCAATTCTCTTTGTAGAAATGCCTGATTCTAGGATTGGGAAAGGAAATACAGAAAATGAGACTGGAGTATCCTGTAGTGCCAGAAAGCAAGGAAATACCCAAATTTTAATTAATTAATAATGAGAATATGTTCAAAGGACACAAAAGCTACTTGAAAGAGCTCCCAGTGGCCAAAACTGGAAAAATTTGTATAACAAAATAAATTAATAGTAGATGAAACCTGCTATGTCTTCAATGTTTGTCATTTCCCAAAGTCATGTTGAAATTTAATTGCCATTGTAACAGTATTACAAAGTGGGGTCTTTGACAGGTGACTAACTATGAGGGCTCTACCCTCATGGATAGGATAGATGTTGTTATGAAAGGGTGTTTGCACCACTCTTGCTTCCTCTCTCTTACCCTCTCTTGCCATATGGTGACACAGTGAAAAAGCCCTCACCAGATGCCAGCACCCTGATAGTGGACTTCCCAGCCTCCAGAACTGTGAGTCAATATGTTTCTGTTCATCATAAATTACCCAGTCTCAGGCATTCTATAATAACAGTACAAAGCAAACTCAGACATAATCCAAAGTATGAAATAAATATTCATGAATCCATACAAATACAAATAGATATTTGAATGAATAAATAAATTTGGAGAAGACAAAATCTCCCTTGTAGAATTCCAAATAATTTATGTAGATACTCTCTCCTTCAGGAGACAAAACATAATTCCCTATTCCTTAAGCGTAAGCTCCACATATTGATAAACTGGAAGTAAGCAGAAGGAATGAAGTTCCAACACATGTTGATTCTCATAAGGGAAAGAAAATGGCATCTTCTCCTACTGCTAACTATATAACTGAGCCAGAAATGGTCTTTGAAGAACATAGGATATTCGACCCATGACAGCTTTCGAAAGTGAGAAAGAAATAGAATTGGCTAAGGAGGTGCCAGAAAAGCTTCCACATGCTGCTGATTTTGGAACTACGCCTTCTTTGCACTTTGTCCACATGACAGGATTATCTTTCCAAGCCAATGCCCAAGAAATTATAAACTTTTTCGCTCCACTGAAGCCTATTAGAATCACCATGGAATACAGCTCCAGTGGGAAGGCCACTGGAGAAGCTGATGTGCATTTTGAGACCCATGAAGATGCTGATGCAAGGATGCTCAAGGATCGGTCTCACATTCATCATAGGTATATTGAACTGTTCCTGAATTTACGTTCAAAAGGAAAATAAGACTTCAGGGGCTCCAGATAATAAGGATGAAGCAAGAAGCATTCCATTTGCACATCTTTCTTGGACATGGGATATATAGTTCCAGTTTATTAGCAGTAACTGCTAGGGAAATGATTTTGGTGTTTTGGGTTAATTGCTTCTAAGAAAAATTTCATAGTGGACTATTTAGAAGAAGAAATGAAAGATCTAGATGGGGATTATGAAATAAACCACAGATTAAATTTTTTGTTTAAACTGTCCAGGATCTGATTTTAAAATATGGTCATTATCTTACATGATTAAACAGTTTATTTTCATAGATGATATGTTACCCAATGTAAAGACTACATATTTTTATTCAGCAGCGTTTTTTAAACTCCTTCAATTGAAAAATTATATATATATATAAAATTATATATATATATATAAAATTATATATATATATATATATATATATGGCCTATGAATTGAGTGGTCTGATGTAAAACTTCTCGTAGAGTAAAACAGTGATTTATTTTAACCAAACATTCACCAATACAAAGAAAGGTTTCAGACCTTTGAACTGGTGTGGTTTGGCAGACTGATTTTAAATTTTAAGTAATTACATTGCAGTATTTAATTACTTAGGTAGAGAGAGGAATTTTTAAAAATCAAAACAAAAAAATAAATACCACAGCTTAGTGAGTGTAAATGACAATTTGGCAGTCTTATGTCTTTAGAAATGTTTGGCCTTTCTAAGCCTTGTGCTAAAGGTGTTTAACATTGGTGCTATCTACTTAAGGGGCCATTCTAGTCTTAACTTAGAAGTTGTCTGAACTGTCCTTCCCTGGTTTGTTTTTGTTGTTGTTGTTGTTGGTTTTTTTTTTGTTTTTTTTTTTTGTTTGTTTGTTTTTCATTAGGGTAAACCTAAGGGTGTTTGTTAGTCTCAAAATTGTGAGGTGACATGTCAGAACAGTCCAGACTGGTAAGAAAAATAATGGCTTTACTTGAATTCAAACCAGCTCTAGATAGGAAGAAAATTGGTCTCCTCATTTGCTTTTTCAATGGAATAGCACATCCCATATTTTAGAAAAAGTAGGGGTGCCTTGCTTAAATAAAAGTAGCATTTAATGTATAATTGTGGGGAGGGTTTATGGATAAAGCTGCACTTATGTCATAACGTGGCAGTACATTCTGCTTTAATATTAAACAGCTAGTTACTGAAATATTGGGCAAAATGGCTGGCTTCAAAATATAGTCATTAATAAACTAATATTATGTGCACCTGTTTAGCAGAATCAAAATCCTGTGTAGTTTCCTTGCCTTTTTCCTGTTCTCAGGGTGACAACTGCCATCAGGAGATGCAATTCTAGTTCTTAAAATAAAATTTGCCTAGATTTCTGAGAAGTGATATCTGGACAAAAGACTGTCTTCTCTTACTTAACACATAACCATCTTTAATTACCAGCTAAAATGTGAAATCACTATACTGTAAGTAGTCAATAGATGAATACATGTTTCTGACTGAAAAAAAATAAAGCTACTGCATAGAAAGGATACAGTCAACAAGGAGACAACCCATAGAATGGGAGAAAATATTTTCAAACTACCAACCTGACAAGGGATTAATCACCAGAATATATAAGGAGTTTAAACAATTCTATAGGAAAAAAATATAATAATCCAATCAAAAATGGGCAAAAGATTTGAATAGGCATTTCTGAGAATTCTGATATGCTTATTTTCCATTGCATGTCTGTATCAAAACATCTCATGTACCCCATAAATATATACGCCTATTATGTATCCACAATATTCAAAAATAAAAGTTAAAAATAAATACAATTATAAATTAAAAAGGGGGCATTACAGCTGATACCACAGTAATATAAAGGTTCATAAGAGATAAATATGAAAAGTTATATGCTAACAAATTAGATAACCTAGAAGAAATTGACAAATCCCTAGACATTGCCAAGAATAAATCATAAAGAAATAAAAAATTTGAACAGGTCAATAACAAATTAAAAGATTAAATCAGTAACCAAAAACGCCCCAACCATAAACCAAAGTAGAATCAAATTATTTCACAGATAAATTCTCTCAAACATTTGAAGAAGAATTAATGCCAATCTTTTTCAAGCTTTTCCAAAAAAATCAAAGTGAAAAAAACGCTTCTAACTCATTTTATGAGGCCAAAATGATTATACCAAAGCCAGGTAAAGATACTATAAGAATAGAAAATCACAGGCAACTATTCCTAATGGACATAGATGCAAAAATTTTCAAACAAATTGCAAGTAAATGAAATTTAAAATAATGCGCAATTATCAATTGAGACTTTCCCCGGGATAAAAGGATGTTTCAACATACACAAATCAAATCATGTCACAAGTTAATGTGATACCCCATATTTACCCAATGAAGAACAAAAATCATATGGTCATCTCAACTGATGCAGATAAAGTGACAAAATTCCGTATCTTTTCATGATAAAACCTCAACAAATTAGGTATAAAAAATGTACCTCAACATAATATAGGTCGCATATGACAAGCCCACAGCTAATATTATACTTAATGGTGAAAAGATGAAAGCTTTCCTCTAAGATCAGGAAAAAACAGATGCTGCCCTCTCTCGCCACTTCTATTCAACATAGTACTGAAATTCCTAGCCAGAGCAATTAGTCAAGAGAAGGAAATAAAAGGCATCCAAATTGTAAAGAAAGAAGTAAATTATCTCTGTAGATCACATGATCTTATGTATAGAAAATCCTAAATTAAAGACTCTGCCCCAAAAAAACTATTAAAACTAATAAACATCCACATTGACAGAAGATATGGAAAAAAGCCTAATAAACAAATTCAGAAAAGTTATCAAATAAAAAATAAACACACAAAAATCAGTAGCATTTCTATATGCTAACAGAGAACTATCCATAAAAGAAATTTTTAAAATAATCCCATTTATAATAGCATCAAAACGAATAAGATACCAAGGAGGTAAAAGGTCTGTGCATTGAAAATTATAAAATACTGAGGAAAGAAATTGATGATGCAAATAAATGGAAAGTTATCCCATGTTTATAAATTGGAAGAATAAATGCCTATGTTCATGGATTGGAATTAATATTGTTAAAATATCCATACTACTCAAAACAATCTACAGATTCAACGAAATCACTATCAGAATTTCAATGACATTTGACAAAGAAATAGAAAAATAAATCCTAAAATTCATATGAAACCATAAAATATCTAAGATAGTCTAAGCAATTTTGAGAACGAAAATGATGTTGGAGACATCATATACCCTGATTTCAAACTATATTACAATTATAGTAATCTAAGCAGTTTTTTTAGATTATAGTAATCTAAGTCTGTTTTTACTGACATAAAAACAGACACATAAACCAATGGTACAAAATAAAGAGCTCAGAAATAAACCCATGTGTATTTGATCAACTAATCTTTGACAAAAGCACCAAGAATACACAATGGGGAAATACAAGTTACAATAAGGAAGTTAGTTGGGAAAATTGAATATCCATATACAAAAGAGTGAAGTTGAATTCTTGTCTTATACCATATACAAAAATTAATGGATTCAAGACTTAAATGTAAGATCTGAAGCCATGAAACTCGTGGAAGAAAACATAGGGAAAAAAGCTTAACATTTAATTTTGGCAATTACTTTTTGGATATGAACCCAAAGCACAGGCAATAAAAGCAAAAAAAGTAAATGGGATTACATCAAACTAAAAGCTTTTGCACAGCATAAGAAACCATCAACAAAATGAAAAGGCAACCCATAGAATAGGTGAAAATATTTGCAAGCCATATATTTTATAAGGGGTTAATATCTAACATATATGAGAAACTCATACAACTAAATAGCAATCAATCAATCAACAACAATTAAAAATGTGCAAAGAACCTGAATAGACATTTTTCCAGACATACAAATGGCCAACATGTATATGAAACAGTGCTTTACATCACTAAACATCAGGGAAATGGAAATCAAAACCATTACAAGATGTCACCTAACACCTGTTAGAATGGCTATTATTGAAAAGACAGAGATAAGTATTCCAAGGTTTAGGAGAAGAAGAAATCTTTACACACTGTTGATGGAAGTGAAAATTGGTACAGCCATTATAGAAAACAGTATGGTGTGTAATGATACATTCAGCAAGGATTTATCGTGTATATAGCTGGAAGTTAAATTGCTGGGCTATGGTGCAGACAAGTATTTCACTGTTAATGTTTCACCCAAATATTATGCACCATTTATCGTGTTATCCCTCCATCCATATGTTAGAAATGAAATCTAACACAGAGCATCTGTAGATTTTCTCTTCCTATAGGCAGACCCTGAAATATGAAGCATTTGCTCATCCATTTCATCTGCTCTTGACCAGTAACAAGGGCAATTGGAAAGAAGGGTCGATCTACTCCCCTGCTTCAATATTGTACAATTTTGAGAAGTAACTTTCACTGCAGAGCTCCCCTGTGGGATCAGGGTGAAGACAACTCTGCAGGACTTTGCCTGAGGTTTCATTATTATTTGTCTTAGTCCTCTTCCCTGTCCTGCTTCCTTGCTCTTTTACTAGCCTCCCCTGAGAACACTTAATAAATCACAGATTCTCATCTCAGGATCAGTTTCCAGGGAACCTGAACAAAGATAAGGCATATTTCAAATATACCAAACACTGTCACAAAGCTCTCCACATAAATTGAACTGATGGCTATTCCTTCCCCTTCCATCCCTAGCAATGGTATGGGAGTTAAACCAAGCCTTCTCACCAACTCCCACATTTTGTAATTAATTTTTTTTTAAATCTGATAACTGTGCAAACGGTATTTCATTACTGTTTTATTTTGCATTTCCCTAATTGCTACTGAGGTTGACCTCTTTTTCTTAAGTCTGTCGGCCACATTTCCTCTTCTGTGGATATCTATTTATTTTCTTTATTCGTTATCCTATTTAGGTGTTTGTCTTTGCTTATAGACCTGTAGGAGTTCTTTACAAATTCTGGAGGCTAAACATTTGTAACATATATGTTGTAAGTATCTTCACCTAGTCCGTGACTTGTCTTTTAAATTTATGCTAGCTTGCATGAAATTCTTTTTCACTCTAGTATACTCAAATTTACTCATCTTTTCCTTTATAGTTTGTGCTTTTTTGTTTTTCTAGGAAATATTTTCCTAATCTAAGGTTATAAATATTTGCTTCTATATTTTCTTCTTCTTTAAATTTTTTGTTTTATTTTAAGTTCCAGGGTACATGTGTAGGAGGCAGGTTTGTTACATAGGCAAATGTATGCCATTATGGTTTGCTGCATCTATCAACCCATCCTAGATATTAAGCCCAGTATGCATTAGCAATTTTTCCTAATGCTCTCCCTC